GAGCTTTCCTTACCTCCTTCCCTTTCCCTTTTTTCCTTTTCCTTTTTTCTTTTCCCTTTTTTGCGCTCTGATTCACAATGTGACAATATATATATATTCAGCCTCCTGATGAGTCGGTGAAACTCCGACGAAACAGTTTGTTACAGCCCCTCGTTTGTTGTCCTCTTCTCCCTCTCTGCCTACGGTTTACCGGGCAGTTCTATTTGACGATATATATACGATTTATATATATTCTGTTTGTGACGATATATATAGACGATATATATATGAGTCGGTGAAACTCCGAAGAAACAGTTTGTCACAGCCCCTTGTTTGTTGTCGTCTTCTCTCTCTCTGCCTACGCTTTACCGGGCAGTTCTGTTTGTGACGATATATAGATAGATATATATCGTCACAAACAGAATATATATATATATATAGGGTTCAGCCTCCTGATGAGTCGGTGCAACTCCCACGAAACAGTCTGTCACAGCTCCTCGTTTGTTGTCCTCTTCTCCCTTTCTGCCTACTGTTTACGGGGCAGCTCTGTTTGACAATATATATATATATATATTCAGCCTCCTGATGAGTCGGTGAAACTCCGACGAAACAGTTTGTCACAGCCCCTCGTTTGTTGTCCTCTTCTCCCTCTCTGCCTACGGTTTACCGGGCAGTTCTATTTGACGATATATATATATATATATATATTGTCACAGCCCCTCATTTGTTGTCCTCTGACGATATATATAAAACAGTTTGTCACAGCCCCTCATTTGTTGTCCTCTTCTCCCTTTCTGCAGCTTATATATTATTTGAACCTTTCTATATTTGGGAAGCCTCGTCTCTTCCTACTTGCTAAGGCCTAGTTGCATCACTCGTCATCCGCCCAACATCTCGAATGAATACGGACGTGGTATTTGTCGCGATGCACTCAAAATGTTGGTGGATGGGAAGTGGTCGAGTTAGCCCCTTGGATAGTAAATGTTGGTAGTCCTTCGGGAGGGAAGGGGAGGGGCTTCCATTTTGCTGCGAACTTAGTTATTTCATTTGTGAAGTTTTTGAAAAGCAGCCTAGGCTACCAGAGTGGCCCGGGGTCACTTGCCCGGCCGGGCCAAAAAGATTTAAAATTTTGTAAAAATACTAAAAGAAATATATATTTTAAGATTTTATTTTATATTTTAAATTTGGTAAAGAATTTCGATGTGACCCTGAGGCAAAAGTTGTTCAGTTTATTTATCTGCATAACATAGTTTTTTTTCGGATTTTTTGGATTTTTTTTGTTTTTTGCTGGGACACTCCCTTGTCCTTGCACGGGCTGGCCACCCGGGACCCGGGAAAGCAGCGATATTTTTAGCGCCTGCGAGCAGAGAGTGGGCGCAGAATTTGTGAAGTTTTTTGAAAAGCAGCGATATTTTTAGTGCCTGCGAGCAGAGAGTGGGCGCGGCCAGTATGTTCTGTCTGCCGCTGTACTTTGTGGTTCTCCGTGTTCGGTTTATTGTGCGCCGCTCAGGGCAGGTAGATGCCCAAGCAACGGTTATTCTTTCTCTTCTTTGGACGAGTGGGTGCATCGGCGATGGATCTTGAAATCTTCGAGGACGAAAAAGAATTACCTGATGAGAAAGAAGCCCGAACCTCTTCGCTTGCGCCCAGAGTACCATCCTCCCTGGAATGCACAACACACATCCTCATCATGACTGTATTGAACCGGAGACGTTCGGGCTCCTTGTGTGGACCTGGTACACAACCTATCGTTCCTTGTATACCAGGTGTCGTCATGGAGCACTGTCTTGCTGAGAAGATGGTCGGCAGAGAGGTTCGGGAAGATCCAAGGAAGGTGGAGTGCGGTCCCGAGGGGTCAGGAAAGCAGGCACGAACTAATCAACCATGTGAAGTTTCAGATCGATTGTGATTTGCGTTCGATCGTAGGTGCATTGGTGACGGATTTCGTGGTGGGTGCATCGGCGACGGATGTTGGAATTCTTGGAAATCAGGAAACTGCAACAGACTGGGGGAATTCTGGACGAGGGAAAAATCATTCAAAAATCTAGGCTGTTTTTCCGGGCGCCTGGGCACCCAACTTATGCCTGGGTTCATGCCTGTGCCCGGCCGGGGATCACCCCGGGGCAGGGGTCCGGCCAGCCCCCAGCGCCAAAAAAAAAAAAAAGAAAAAAAAAATTCCGGAAAAAAATATGTTGTGTAGAATTGCAATACGAACGACTTTCGGCTAAGGGTCACATCAGAATCCCTCACAGAATCGGAGATTGAAAAGAAATTAACAGAATGACACTGAGGCACCCCCCTTTAAACCCCTTTAGCCCCTTTAAAAGCAATTTATATGATCAGATGTGCATATCGAACGCAACATCCAAACCAGCAGGCACGGATCCTGCCTGGCGCGCTCCGTCTGCATCTCCGGTCATTTCCAAGTTCTAACCCATGTAAGTATCCCACCACTGACTGAGTGAGGGTTGTGGTATGTCTTGCACCTGTGGTGATATCGTCCTCGTCCACCTCCTCCTCCTCCTCCTCCTCCTCCTCCTCCTCCTCCTCTTCGTTCTCCTCCTCCCTCCTCTTTTTCCTCCTCCTTCCTCCTCTTTTTCCTCCTTCCTCCTCTTTTTCCTCCTCCTTCCTCCTCTTCTTTCTCGTCTTCCTCCTCTTTTTCCTCCTCCCTCCCTCCTCTTTGTCCGCCTTCTCCGGTGGTTACATTGAGAATTCCATGTATGTATGCCTCTTTTTTTTTTTTTTTTTTTTTTTTTTTTTAAGATTGTGGCTTGGGTCTTCTTTTGGTTGCAGTTATGTCACCCTCTTTGGTTTCCAAGTGTTGTTCGTCCCTATTTTCTTACGTATCTGGAATTATTTGTGATTGGATGGACGGGTGCAGGCATGTGGTCCTCCCCCCAGATATTGCGAAGCACTTGCCGAAGAACAGACTGCTCTCTGAGGTATCCTTCCCTTCCTATGCCTTATTCCATTCCCTTGTCATTCTTGCCTTGCCCCCTTTTTCCTTGCGAAGAGTTTGTTTTCGCCAGGCCTACCACTTTTCGTTGGCGACAAACTGTCTGTGGGTCCCTCAATCCTTATCCCTTTCCCTTGTCATCCTTGCCTTACCCCCTTTTTCCTTGCGAAGAGCTGTGTTTTTGCCAGGTGCTTGGCGATTTGCTTTGCATACCCACATGCCGGGTCAATAGCAAAGTGCGTGTGCTTTGATCTCTGTCTTTCTGTCTGTCTGTTTGTCTGCCTGTCTGTCTGTCTGTCTCTCTCTCTCTCTTTCTCTCCCTCTCCCTCTCTGTGGCATACTGTGCAGCCACACGGGCCCTGCAGGGCCCGTCCCGGACCTCCAGCCTGTTTCCCTACAGGGAAACTTCCAGGCTCTTGCCTGGAAGCTTCCTTCTGACAGGGCCTACAGGCCCCAGCCTGTTTCCCTACAGGGAAACTTCAGGGAACTTCCAGGCTCTTGCCTGGAAGCTTCCGCAGGGTCTAGGCCAGGGAGGCATTGGCACGGCCAGCCTCCTGCACGGGCCAGCACTATAAAGGACTGGCCCGCCCTGCAGGAGGGGGTGAGTAGGCAGAGGTAGTCTTCAGGATTCGGCCGCAGCACTCAGGAGGAGCGCTGCAGTAGTCTTCAGCGCTAGGCAGTAG